GGCTCATTTTGCACTGTGTTGTGCCTGTTTTACACACCTTTCACTCAAGTATAAAAGGGGAGGCTGGTAGATGCTCCAGAGGTTTCCTTCTGTATTGAAGTGGGTAAGGAAGCACTAGTGGCAGACACAAGGAAGTGGCAGGTGTTACCCTCAGGAAACAGTTGCAAAAGAAGCCTAATACATGGGATTTCCGTCCCCACACTCTCATGCATAGAGTCATTAGCTGCATTGAAAAGCCCTTTTCTTCTGACCAATGCAATTGTGATATTCTGATCTTTGGTCAAAATCTAGAGCAGATAAAGCTTAAAGCAGCTTCACTACTAATCCTGCAGCTTAGAGACATTGTGCTTTCTCCCTCCCGTGCCAGTGCAGGTCTTGACCAGCACTACATGACAAAAAAAAACTCTTTTAAATTATCTCAAAATCTTTACTGCCCAAGTTTTCCTTCCCACTGCCTCTGGTCTTCTACAACAGACAAAGAATAGCTGTTGTTTTCTTTGCTTATCATACTCTTTTAACTCTTCTTTTGTATCTCGCAAACTTCATATTGCTTAGCAACACCATGATTTTTCCAGGGAATCCTCGCTTTGCATTGAGCAAAATGCAATTTAACTTCACAGAGAGGAGCTCATCACAAGACAAGTATCTTGCTACCACGGTTCAGTAAGTACCTAACAAAGCTGGATTTTTAACGAAGCGCTTCTTTGGAGCAAGTAATTTTCATGCCAATAGCAAGGCTGATTCACACAATCACGCTTTTCAAACTCATGTTTGCTGTTGAGCTCATCTTCAGTGTTCTCAGTGCAGATTACACTTCCATTATTTTGCAAGAACTTCCAGTCTGTGGCAAACTAAATTTGCCTGAGCATCCACAACATGCTCAAATAACTTTTAAGTGACAACTTGGGTTCCTCTCTCAACTTCTAAGAGTGTTAAGAACCGTAGTGGTGAATAAGACCAATGATCCATCTTGCCCCATATCAGGTTTCCAACCATTTCCAGAAGGAAATTGGATCCTATTTCCACTTATTGGATCTTATTTCCACCCCCATCAATTAGTATCTCAAGATGCACTGCTGGTTACCACAAAGGTCCCATTTAGCTATTGTAGCCAACAGGAGTCAGTAGACTGATCCTCCATGGGGTATGTCTCCGCTTTTGTACCCTCTTTGTGTACTGAATCTGTGTATTGGATCCTGTCATCTCCAACATGGCCAAGGGCAGCTCCAGGGATATGCTAAAGCTACCTAAGTCAACAGCCACGTCTTGTGGCTTTGAATGCCATTTTGTGTGACAAGTATTTTCTTTCTTGAATACCGTTCACTTACACTGGGTGAGCCCAAATACTAGAATTCAACTGGAGATTTCTATCAGCACGATGTATATTTTGTTTCTAAATTAAACACTTTCCTCATAAAGAATGTGCTGCAATCCTTCAATCCTGCATCTTCTCACAGCTCTGATAACCTGGGATTTGAAACTGGGCAACCAGATCTGTATACCAGTGTGGTATAGTGGTTAAGAGTGCCGGTCTGGAGATCTGGAAGTCCCAGGTTCTAGTCCTCTCTCAGCCATGGACCTAACTGGGTGACTTTGGGCCAGTCACAGCCTTCTCAGCACAACCTACCTAGAAGAGTTGTTTTGAAGATGAAATTCAGAGAATTGTATAAGCCACCTTGAGTTCATTGAAAGGAAAAAAGGTGGGATATAAATATTGTTCTCAGTGTATCTGTTTTATATGAAAGAATTGATACAGATTTTTTTAAAAAACGGTAAAATGGAGCTTGCACTGTTGCCCACCGCCACATTTTTGAACCAGCTCAAATCTCTTACCTGAAGACTTCCAGCCAGGACAGATCCTTTTAGTGTATATATGAAGTTGGGATAGTTTGCCTCAACGTGCATCACCTTTCACTTGAATCTCATGTGCAATTTTATCACCCATGCACCATTTTGGAGCCTTTTAAATTGTTTTCAGTATCCTTACCATTATAAATTATTTGCAAAGTTGGCCACATTGGCCTTCTTTTTTCCTCTTTTGGTTGATGAACTTGGCTATCTGCCTCTTAGCAAAATTTTTTGCTGCATGATACATTTATATGTACATTCATATGATGGAACTGAGTTTGAATTGTATACATCCCCAGTATTGTGTTCATTTTATGCAAATACAACTGCTTGGCTTTTGCAATGAGACAGTGGAGAAAAATGAAGTAGAACTGTGCTTTCAAAGCCCTAGGGTGTGTTTTTTAAAGAAAATATTAGTTGGCAAACACAGCAGAAATCTCAAAATTTGCTGCAAGCTTAAATTAAGTATATTCATATTTCAAGCTCTGGATAAAATTCTTAAGAGATATTCTTGCATATTTTCCATTGATTTCAGTAAGATTCATTCCACTGATTTCAGTAAGATTTATTAATTGCTGAAATATGTCTTCTTATGTTGCATGGCTCAATCAACAAGCTATCCATGGTCTTTCGAATGGGAGCTATAAAATGAAACTAGCAAAATGCAACTCAATATAAAACTAATAAAAGCATCAGTCACCCCCACTTATTTCCTGCTTACCTGAACAAAACATTTCCATGAAAATCTGTTGGGTATGTTTTTAGAAGTAATGAAGATCTATAATCTTTGAAAGGAACAGCACTCAGTGCACATGATGATCTTAATCTTTCGAGGCACCTCGGGGTTTTGGTTTTTCTTCAGAGAAACTTTTCATCATTTGGGGGTAGGGGGTGTCCCCAATTAATTGTTCTTAAAATCTAATACACTGCTGAACCATTCTGAAATCGGAAAGGACAAGCAGGAAATGCTGCTTCTGTTAATAATACCAGCTAGAGACAATTTTGAATAATTCATTGTTTTCCTATTTTCAGTGGGGCAGTAGCTTTGACCTCATACCTTGCTGTGCAATTGTGAATTTTATACTAGGCGCAATCTCATTGCTAGATTCTAATCTAATTTCGACTTCAAAAGCTGTTGCATACAGCAGTTAAGGACTTCAGACTACTGTGTCTCAATTTCCCTTTTTTTCATTTTGTCCTGAAATAAATTGTTTCATAAATGAAATGTTTTTCAAAACAGATCTTAAAATAAAATAGATGAGTCTTAAAGGTTATCCACAGTAAGATTCATAAAAGTCACCTACAGAAAAACAAAACCAGGCACTTTGAAGTATTTTGGCCCATTTTGTTTAGCTTCATGCTTGCTTGAATGAAATCCAGATTGCAGGAAACTGTGCCCAAATAAAGTAATATTTTAATATTATTTAGCACCATTAAAAAAACCTAAAAGCTTAGATTACCTTAATGTTGAAAAGGCAAATAGAAACAAGATTCCTAAGGAATGGGTTGGAAATTATCAGCCAATAACATCAATACTATCATGGCGAAATTAGATGGTAGTTACAGTAGAACACAGAGAGTTTGTTCAATGATTTGTTATAATGAAACAGTAAAGCCTTAATTCATATTAATCTCTGAAAGTAAGAGAATTCCCTTGTTTCAACAATAGATTTGCTCCTATTTTAGAAATGTAGGGGTTGGTTGAAATTGGTGCAAGCAACAGATTGAGAATGAATGGCAAATGCACCCGTGATTCCCAAACAGAAGTAGTTGAAGCAACACCCCTGAAAAAAGAACAATTTCAAAATTACTGTATAGACAAGCCCCAAAAAAACACAAATCAGCCATTTACATCTTGAATATTTATGTAAAGTTACTTGCTTAGGTTAAATGTGATGTAGATAGCAGAAGATGCAATTATACTTTATATCATAAGATTCAATTAAAATTGTGCTGCTTTAGAAATATACCAATAGATACAAATGCTTGCGCAAGCCCTCACCTTAAGTCATCTGTCAGCATACATGGAAATGCCATAAGAAAACATGCTTGTTTGAGGACAAAGCACTGCTATGCAACCTGATGATGCCATGTAGGTTTAGACAAGAGAATGACCCAGTTTGCACAATCCAAATAACCCTCGAATAATCCACACAGCATTGCAGGACTGTGGATTGTTTAACCCTCCAACAAGCCATGCTGCCCAGCTTTGGATGATAGGTGAGCCAAGGCTGGAGGGTGTTTATGTAAACAGTACCCAGCACATGCTGCTGTTCACTATAAGCCATAGTGACTTGTTTTGATCGTGTGAACTGGCCCTAAGCCTTGCTGTGCTTAATGGTATCTATGTCCAACTTTAATGAGGACTGCAGCCTTGCAGCCCAATTCTAAAATATTTATACGGAAAAGTCACCAAATTAAATACAATTTCAAACATGCACATTGCGAAGGTATTTGTCTTAAACTGTTACAAGCAGTGAAAAATCAGAGCCCGCTATCCAACTCCATTAAAAGTTTTCATGTTGCAGGCTGAAACCTTCATCTATTCTGAGTTAGCGTCTGCATTTGGATGCTCTCCATCAGAGACTTCTGGGAAACTATTTAAACAATCACTTAGAACCAAATGCAATTATCTTGGTATAGAAGTCAAATTATTTGCTCTTTATATTCCTTATTTCACATAAAGGAATAAAAATAGCTCTCACATTATGAACTGAAGATTATAACTTGATTAAGTAAGAATTCATGAAGACTGATGTTTAAGGGGTAGGACCAAACCCTATTGAATTGGCTG